GTTGGTTTCAAACTCGAGTCCATTGCCACGAGAGCCAGGCTCTCTATAATGCTTTCGCGATTGAGTTGGCACACTCCCAGTAGCACCAGTGCCCTTAAACTTCTGGTGCTACTGGATTTTCGACTTCATGACATCAACCGAATATTAGTTCATGTCAGTTGTAAGATCGGTGAAAACAGTTCTGTTGCTGTCTGCAGGCCCATAGAAAGCAATGGTTTGGACTAAAAGGGTCAGTGAACTCATCGAGATAGCACAGTACCAATCAAACCATTCGCCATACCCCAATTTTACACTGAATGACAAGCACATTGATTGCCTTTTAGTGTCAAAAACATAAGATGTGACAGCTTGGAGTTTTCTTGCTAGAATTACAAACTAGACACAGTCCTAGGCCAGTGGCATTCATTGGATTTGATGTAGGCTGCATCTCAGATGCCATTGAACTCACGAATCCTTCTGGCTTGATGATAAACCTCTCTCAGGTCTCCAACATAAGCTAGGCATGGGCCAACACTTCCTTCTTATCAGTAGTATTTTCAAAAACATTGTTGGATGCCCTAGTACCATGAGAAGTAGTACAAAATGCTCTCTTCCATCAATAGACTTGCAATGCTTAAATCAGTGTTACTCCTGTCATTGAGGCCAGGGTGACATGCTTCATATTTCCACTCTGCATGAGCTGTGATGGTATATGTGTTGGCATTAAGTCCATTCTGAAAAATATGCTTTCAGACAAAGTATTTTATAATCAGTAGAAGCCCGTAAAGGTTTCCCCCTTACAGTGTTTTTCACTTGTCATAAAAACTTGTGCATGGAATGTTCCTCATGCTCAAATGTCTGAGGGATGTGAAAAATTGTCTGACTCAAGTGAGAAATATTGTACTTGCTCATTCCCTTGCTACATGCAACAAAAACTCCAACACCCAGTGAAATGCTACTTCTCACTACATATTCACCACCACATTGCATAACTATTAATATGTAACATTTTAAGAGCCTAGACCCAACTCCTTAGGCCCCCTTCAATAAGCAAAAATGGGCCAGTCATAGTATTCAGACTGAATTCTCTTCCTTTATAAACTGGTTTAAAATATCTTTGATTGACTTGGATGACTTTCTGAAAATGATCCCATTGGCTCTGTCCCTTGCTTCTACAACTACCAACTCAGTTTCAAGCACATACTGAAACATGGGCTGCCCAATCAAGTTCTTACATGTGCTTCTGATACCAGACCATTGATTAGTCACACCAAGTCAACTGTAAAATTAATGTACCCCTTCTAAAGAAAATAACATTGATGTTTTCCTTGAAGAGTTCAATATTTAAAGCATTTCTGAGATCTTCCATAAATATGTCTCTGACAAACATCATGTTAGTAGTTTTGTCACATACTTGCTTCCCATTAGTGCAATCCTTGGTGTGCCTATTGTGCCCTTGGTGGCTTGTTACACATTAGTACAATCCCAGTGGTACTAAAACTGATGCAACACTTTCAGATCTTGCAAACTGTGATGACAAAGGGTTAGGTTCACAAAACATCTTGCAGGAAGTGATGCTAATGTCATCATTCTTAATGCACCAGGGGATACCTTGCCTCTTCACCCTATTGGCTCAAATATGATATTGCATGCATATCAGAAACATGACAAAATTCTGCCACTCCAGATGCTGTGACATGCCCCCTCCTTATTCTTATTACAAAAATGGCAGATCTCAAGAAGAGTGCTTGCAGTTTATGGCTACGGAAGTTAGGATATTGCCAATAGTACTCTTTATTCCTTCATTTCCTGAAACTCTTAGACTTTCTTTAAAGACTTTTTGGGAGCATTCATCTTGTCTTGTTTGATTTGTAGACTTCATGATGCTGCTTCTCTTGTATCTTTGTATGGAGCCATCAATGAGACAAAATATATTTCCAAAACATCTTTTGCCACAGTTATAAATAATGGCTTCCACATTAATTGTTTTATTGCCATCTTTGACTTGCATATAGGACAATCCTGTGATAAATTCTTGGTCTCTTTGATCCCCCAGAGCTCACCTAAATTGCAATGAGATCCCCAGGCCCATACATGCTTCCATTCAAAATGGAACAGCTACTCTTTTCTCAGAAAATGCAATGGAACCATTCTTGTTATCAAATGCATCTCATTGACAATGCTGTACTGGTCAGAATGCAAGGCAACTCTTAATATGAGACAAACCCCTTGGGCCAGCAGTTCTATTCATGATGCAGAGGTGTAGTATGTCACATATCTGATGCAATTTTTCCAGGTTGAATATGAAAATTTTCTTAAAGCACGAATGTAAAATGATTTTTGATATTAAAGGTCTGTTTTGTGAAAAATCTGTCATATATTCAAACCAATTGGGTGTTTCTAAACAACCAGCCCTGGTTTCTTTATTTCTGGAGAAGAAAACTAATCACCAACACCCTAAAGACATTGCAAAGTTTCACTTAATAAAAAAAAGTCTTCTGCAGCTGCCATGAAGCCTTGAAATGAGCAGATTTGGGGCTCAAGTCTTCAGGTCTTATACTTGTAGTTCTGTGAAAGATCTTTACAAGCTCTTCTGAAACCTATTACTAACAACAGCCCTGCCACATATACCCATCTATTCTCCAAGTATTTCAGCTTTCCTCTGTGGATTGGCAATAATTTTTAGTATTTCTTCATGCAAAAGACAAATGCTTTACAACAGTTTCAGCTATACCACACTGTCCTTAAAAACATTAATTCAAGAAAATCCACAATTGGTGAGTCCCACATGAAGCCATCTTGCTAGTGCTTTCTTTGGATTTGCCTCCTATTAATGATAACTCTGTTCAGGAAGTTACATTTAGGATAGTTTGTCTTGCATTCATGATGAGACTTCCTATGGACCAGATTGACTAGCTGTAAGCTTTTAAAATTTTCTACCTCTGGTAGAAAATATAAAGATACCCCTCTAAAGGATATATGTCATATCACAAGCTTAAGTCTCCCATTAATGTGAAGAATAGCTGAAGTTCCCCTAGGGAAGAAGGTAACAGACAGCATAGGGTAAGCACCCCGGTTTCTGGCCGGTCTCCAGTTGTTGGCTAGTGAGGCTTAAATCCAGCATGATTAGTTAATCTGGTCGCTTTCAAACATTCTATCAACATCTTCCCGTACTAGGACCTATTACTAGTGTTTCCCGGTGTGCGCACAAGCTGTCCACTTCCTATGGGAGTCGTATCAGCGTGGCCAAAAACTGGGGTGTTTACCCTATACAGAATAAATGCCCTATCTAATTGGCTTAATTTTTTTCAAAATTTGGAGAAGTCAATCACCTGTGTTATGACTCTTCTTAACCGCTCTATTATGAAAAGAAAATGCATTTTCTCACTTAACATTCAGTAAATTTGCCTGAATGCGTTTGAAAAAGTGCCGCAAGATTCAACACAGGAGAAATTGCATGACATGTATGGCATAGGCATGCTTACACTTCTCACCATTTTGCACTTTCGTCAACAATGGCTCGTCCTTGATAATTATTTCTCTCTGCATGTCGCTGGATGGCTTGCTAATATGAGAGAAATTTAACCTTCATGTGATGAAGTATCTTTTTGATCGAATTTGATGAGAATTGGCATGGTCCCAAGCAAATTTAATGCAAATCAATTTGGATAAAACCAAGTGACAGTGTCCTTTTCCCGTAACTTAGAAAGACAGCTGCCCTGACGACAAGATTAATGGCACACCCCTTGACATTACTTCATAGTGAAAAATTGCTTGGGGTAATCTCTGAAGTGTTAAATTAGAACATGTAAATTACAAACAAAGCAGCTATGGGGACCCATAGACTAATGCATATGATCTCAAGAAAATTGAGGGTTGAAATGCTGCTCAAACTGTACCACACCAACAGGAATCTGTTGAAACACTGTGCTTCTATTCGGAAGTTTTCATGTCAAAAGTTAAATATCCAGTGTGAGTGCATTCTGAGGAAAGCAACCAAATTATTGGGCTTCAGAGGAAAAATGTTCCCCTACAAGCATAGCAGCCACAGTATCTAAACTTTAGTCGTCTCTAGAATATCGTCGTAAATATTACTAAGGATCGTCATAACAACTTATGATGAGTCCCACCACTTTCCCAAATTCTAAAAGTTAATGATAGAACGTTTTTTGCATAATGCATTTCAGATCATCTATCTCTAGTGAATTCCTACCCTTTGGAACACCTTGACCTTTAAATGTAATGAGTCACGTCACTTTACTGTTGTGTGTCCCTAACCTGGTTCGCTTTAAAGGATCTGCCCTCAATTTGCTTCCCACCACCTCTCTATTAATTATTCAGCCGAGTTTTGTATTTATACTGAGTTCTGTGCTGTAAAACTGGGTTTCGTCCCCATTTGGAGTTTTTTTTTAGTTTTGTCCTGTTCCCCTTATCATACTATTGCGAATAGTAATTGCGTGACCCATTTAATTAATATTCCGTGCCCCTGATGCCTAACTGCAACAAGCTAAAGTCAATTGACTGCAAATGCAACTTTGTCCAGTGGGCATCTCCGACTCCGAGCATAGATTTGCCATAGACGTGCCACACCAAAATGATTTTCATCTCTCGCGATACCCCAACGACACTCCCATTTCTGTTACAATAGGAGCATCAAGTTTCGCATCTTGAATGCTATGGTCGCCCCCCCCCCCCCCTTCGATTTCAAATGGCTGCAAGGAAGATAAAACCCTTATGGACTCGCATTACTGCCCTCAGAGAGATTGATGGCTCTCTTCCACTTGAGGCCATCAAGAAGAAAGAAGTGAAATGAAATATCCTTCACTTTGTGAGGCTGCTCACGTCACAGGCTGAGCGCCGACGATGAATTCTACGGACTTTTCCCCTCTTTTTAGATTTGTGGATCTGGCGGATCTGGATGCGGATCTCCCACTGCCTAAATTAAGATAGTGTTTTTTTAGTCGTTATTTATAAATTATATTATGTCACGTTGCTTTTTTAAAATAAGAATTTGTAAGTGTAATATTTGTTGATATCAGTTTCAGGTGTTTTCGACCAACGCTGTAATAGAGTAGATTTGGTTTAGACGTCATGCAGACGGAAACGAAACAGCGCAGTAAGTGCCTTTCCCGTCGTACAATAATAGAACAAAGCATGAACAGTTTATGAATTTATTCCTTGGAGCATCTCACTGTACATTTACGTTGATGATATGAAGCCTTATTATTTTGCGTTTTTGTTGTTCAAAAATGTTTCGCATACCGGGATATAATTGTCAGGATACCCACCGCACACGTTCATGGACGTGATGGAGGACAACCTGCAGAAGGCCTTGGAGTTGCTGGAAAACGTGGAGATCCCGGAAGAAGCCCGCGATCTCATTCGGAAGACGCACGTCATCGCCCGGGACGTCTATCCCTATTCGGAAAAGTATTCCACCCAGCCCAGTCCCATCCTCAAGGTATTATCCCCGTCCTGGTACTCACGATTGATCCGTTCCGACTCCCGCGAGAAATATCCGTAACGAGCGTGATCGATTTCGGCAGGGGATATGGGAGCGGACTATGGGGGAAGACTGGAAGGGATTGCATGCTGAGGGGAAGATTTCCTACATCCCGTCACCCATCATGATGACGGACTCCACTGAGGGCAAGAGATTTTCCCGCTTCGTTTCATATACCATTACGAGCCTTGGTCAATGATTTCGAGCGCCGTTTTTATTTCTATATCGTGCCAATGCGTAAGATTCACTCATATTTTCTCTCTGGTCATAACCATCTGCTTGGCGTGGGCGGCAGGGGGTATATTCTGCCCCAGCTCGGAAAGGGAAAATGAATAACAGGAAGCGGATAAGGAGAATGGATTCTCTTCCATTTCAGAGTTTCACTCCTCCCGCGCTAGGTGTCTCTCGTGAGGCAATTCTCCCTAGGATTATATTGAGGCAAGAACGGAGAGGGATTCGACTCCACGGTCGCTGCGTAATGCAGCTAGCGCTTGATGTCGGCTCTGCTACTCGAAGTGGATTCCCAAGCCAAAAACGCAGAACTGTTGCATAAGGATCCAGGCTTGCGAGACTCGACTTTTTCCTGTAATTTTGCACCGTGTAAGGTTCCTCCTTCAACGGAGAAAATGGATGTCTGCAAACTTCGCCCATCGTTTTACTGTTCGCATTACCTAAGTGCTCCTACGAAAACTAACAAGCTAACGGTCATATTTCTTATGTATGGAGTACGTACATGAGGTGAGCGAAACTATCTCTTCGTGTGAAAAAAAAAACCTGAACGGATACGGCTAAAAATATATCTCTGAACAGATGAAGTTTATATGATACATATGAATTTGTCTGCTACCCCATGTGACCATTTATATGCAGTGGTCAATAACATTGCTTAAAATAGAACATTTAGCCTGTTTAAGAACTGAAGAAGATTCAGAACACTAGGCTTGGAAATCCTTCGGTAGCAGACAGTGGCGTAGTTTCCAGTGCATTGCTCTGCTCTAGCATGCTGAGCTCTCAAACGAGACGAGGATGGAAGTTTTGGGGTTGTTCACATGATGGGTGGGTGTTTTTGTTTCTCGCTTTACCTTTTTGATTAGCATAGTTCAATTGAGATATAATGCCGAACAGTCTTGTTTGTCCACACTGACGCTAGATGGAAAATATGCGATATTTATGCCAGAAAACCTTGATAGATAGAAGTCACAAGTGCGAGAGACAGGTACAACGTGCGTTGCACTACATTTACCTTGGTAAATTACCGAGACACTCGAGACCTGGACTCGCCCTTCATTAAGTTTCATTAGGGCCTACTTATGCTGAAACCAGCACTGTTTACCCCCTCATTTCCACTGGCCGCGTGGCAGGAGGGTAACTATTGAAGGTGCACATTAGGGGTAATGGCGAACACCCTGCACTGACGGGCAATCGACAACCATGCTGATAAAACCCCATGAAAAACTCATGAGTTCTCACGACTTTCTCATGAGCTCAACCACTATCCTCTTATGAAGATTGTGAGGTTCCTCATGAGGATTCGTGACGTCCTTTATGAGACCTCATCATTTTCTCATGAGAACTCTTTTTTTTTTCTTCTAAAGCCTCATGAGGAACACTCGACACAAATATTTATTGCATTTTGTCATTCAGCATTATGTTTCACAAAGCATTTATCGGTTTTTAAATTACCAATCATGTACTAAAAAAAACTTATTTGCAAAAGAAGTCTTATTTATTATTAGAGATTATTTAGAGAGAGAGAGAGCTTATTTCTTACGTATTCGATATTCTCCCGGCTTCCCTTGCTTGAAAACGGAACGAAGAAAAACATCTTTTTTAACTCCGTGCAGACGTGCGATCGCATCGCGTGCGTAACATCCCACACAGCACGGTGACATTTCAGGGATGTCCCCAACTGGACGACTTGTCCCAAGATCTTTATGGAACATCCTAGGGACATCTTGAATCGAATTCTTATCGATATCGCAAAAGGAATATCTTTAAGACATCCTTAGTCGAATGCTTCTGGATATCCCGTATGGAATGTCTGTAAAACATTTTCAGTCGTCTTTGTCACCTTCAGTTATGTGCATAACTTTGACGATAGACTTCTCCCACGTGCCCTGATATCCAACCTCAGATCTCTTCTAGAAATTGTATCTACTTGATTTATACAGAAGAGAAGAAATGGTTTTCATACCGTACATCAGGAAAACTGCCACTGAGGAAAGTGACAAATTTGAGGTCCTAATTTTAATTTATTCAGTTATATTCTCATTAATGATGTTTGATCGGCGTGTCTGAGTACCACTATTCTGATTGGAAATCTGAACCCATGCTTCTTTAAGAGCAAAGGCCTACTTATCTCGTCAATGAAACTGGGCAACTTCTCATTAAAGAGCTCGATTTTACCCTTTGGAGATGTGTCTCTTTTATTGGGGTCTTTCAAGCAAAGGATTTCCCTCCCTCCATACTATTACTCTCCAGTCGATCAAGTCGTAGACTTGTAGTCAACTGGGAAGTCCTAGAAGATCAAGTGGAGGCATCTTAGAAAAGGCACTCAGATATTTTGATATTGCTGAGATGTCCGTGAAAATAGTATCTGGGACTTCTCACTTGTTTGGATATCTTTGGCATGTACTTGCGCTGTGTGGGATGTGTGAGACTTGAATTTCTTCGCGTAGGAGGGCTGCTGCAGATGCTGGTGAAGGTGACGGGTGCAAAGAACTGCCTCGAAGTGGGAATGTTCACGGGTTTTTCCACGCTGAGCATGGCGGAGGCCCTGCCCGAAGACGGCCGCGTCGTCTCCCTCGAGCTGGAGCCCTTCTTCGAGGAATACAATCGGCGGAACGCCTTCGACAAGAGCCCCCACGGACACAAGATTCATGTCCGGATCGGTATGTTCCTTTATCTGGGGGAATCTGGAAATACTTTTCTCCAGGAGAAACACCGGGAAAAATGGCCCGAAAACATATTTAATGAGAACCGAGCAACAAAACTTGTTGTGCTGAGGTCGCTTTTATTCTTTTATAATTCTGATGGCAGGCCTATATATAATTGATCGGGATGAGAGCTCTTTTCTTACGAGTTCGAGGAAGATGTAGGGACCCGCGGGACTTATTACCCTTTTCCAACCACTCCTGCTCTTCGGTGCTCCCATCTTCCGCCTCCAGACATCCAAGACTACTTCTATTAAACTACGGGGATTCAACGCCTCTCTCTTTCCCCTCGAGTTATGCCTATCGCATCAATTAATGTCTGTCAATGTCCATTACTGTCTATTCCCGTTTATCGGCCCCTCACCTCCAAACACCACTATCGCCTGGCTATTGTGTGCATTCGTCTATTTATCGACAGAAAATTTTCAATTCTCCTACATAAATCATAGAGTACCTCTAGATGCAAAAGTACATCTATTGTCCATTCTGACGTACTGATGAATGAAGGGATTACTTTTTTTCCAGCAGAAGTACTGATATTCCTGCTCAGAGCATATCAGGGCGGAGGAAATTGACGCATTCTCTGAGCGAGAAAGGTTTTTTTTTCCTTGTTGGTGACTAATAACGGCGAAAACCGAGGCTGAAAAAAAGAAACATGCAAATAAAAAACGAGAATGGAAAGAACGAATGCGACAAAAATATATCATGAAAATTATGAGGGCTGGGTAAACTGCAGCATTTTGACGTTATGTCTGATTGGTAATGTGAAAGGTCAACAACTTATGTCCAAAAGAGAGAGTCTCAAAATACAGACAAGAAATCGAAATGCGATGTGCAGAGAAAGTATTTTCACAGTCGTGACTACACATCAGCCAAAGTAGAGACAGAGGGGGGGGGGGGAAGACTAGAAAAGCTACACAAGACGAAAAAAAATACGTGTGAAAAACACATCCATCACTGTTGAAGCCTTTGAGTAATTGGATTTTTCCCTGGCTTCTAAATACTCTCGAAGCGTTAGCCCATGACGCTTCAATGCATCAGTGCTTTTCAACTCTTATCTTATAGCTTCCTCTCAGCATTGCCTCTAAGATTCCGTCCTGAACCAGGCTTGGAATAACTCTGTCCCCAGTCTCCAGACGATCAGTCGTTTCAGCTTTCGCTTTATGCTTTCCCTAATTCCTCATGATTTTAAAGTATTTTTTGTGTGCTTCCCCTCTTTCCATTCATGTAGTCATTTGCATTTTTTATTTGGTTGTCTGTATTCGCCGTGATTATCCATCAGCAAGGATGAAAAATTGCGTCCTTTCTTGCTCAGAGTTAGAAAGAGGGCCATCTAAGTCCCGTGGGTCCCACTTATCCCCCGGGAACGGCAATTCAATGCAGTGATTACATTCAAGGAAGAGCAAGCTCCACACCGTCCCCCTTCAACTCCCACCCAACTCCCGCTCTCGCGGGAATGAGATGCCCCTCTCCTAACTCTTGGTCTCCTCCGTTCTAATTCTCTCTTAGTAGGAATATCGATATTTCCTTCGGAAATACGGACCATATCCATCGATCTGCCTCAATGGACAATAGAGATCCTTGTGAAGGATATATGGTATGAGTGAAGGAGGTACATTAATTATTCACTCATATTTAAAACGTATGCATTCAATAATTAGGAGAGGCTGGTGTAATGAGATGGATGAAGCCGACAGACGAGAATTACATTAAATAGACGCGATAATCATGTCAGGAGGAAAAGAGAAAGATTGCGCACCCAGTAGTTCAATAGTCAAAACAGTCAAGAGGGTGTGGTGGTGAGGTGTTCGCTGGAGAATATTTTGATGAGGGATGGAATAAAAAGAAGAGATGAAGAGAATAGTAAGAGATTTGCGAAGAGGTGTAAAATGAACTGGCTGACAAGGAAAGGGCGCTTCCTACATCAACTAGCTACCAAGAATGTATGCCTTGCGAAAAAAGGATTTTGTCAAACTAGTGATGTTTTTTTGTTTCATTTTCATGGAAAAGTGTTCCTCGTGTTCTTCGTCAATAATTACAATTCAGACGTCCATCTAGGAATTTCATTATTCATGATGTAAAATTAGCAGGTAATTGTGAAATTCGAAAATTTCGGTAATTGTGAAAACACTTGCGTCCCCAATCTAGGAACGTTCGGTAAGTGAAATGAAATTGACTTCATTGACTCATCGATCAGAGAATCTAAGAAAAGAATAGCTTAAATCTAGTACTGTAGGAGTTCCAAGAGTTCTAATTAAACGAACACGAATAAATGCAGACCAAACAGCTGTTTATGCTAGGTGGGCACTAAATTTCCCGTCGATTACATCGTGGACCTTAAATGTCTGTATGCTGGCTATCGGTCACCCCGCACACGTAGAAGCGTCGCCACGTCATTGCAGACGCCGACGAAGTAGGACTGCGGCGATGCCTCTAAATGCAGGAAACATTCCTTCCGTTCAGTCCTTGTGTGCATGGATGTTTATGATGCAGGGCCCTTTATTATGACCCATAACGCGCTGTCGCTCGTCCATGAATTGGTCTCCATGGCAATCGAAAGCGAGCTCCTCGATCAATCCAATCAATGGGAAGTGAGCAACCAGAAAGGCTAGCACAGAGTACACAGTTTAGTAACAGAGGATTTTCTGCCCACCCATGAAGAAAATTGCAAAAACACGTAGATATTATGAACTAGGTATTTCGTTGGTTGGATCGACAGGAAATGCCAGGGACATACTGGAGGAACTTGCGGAGGAGAAAATGCAGTTCGACCTCGCCTTCCTGGACGCGGATAAGAAAAGCTATCAGAAGTATTTCGAGGTGAGAGGTATTTCTTTTCTCTCTAGGAGCGAACAGACTTCCGACCGACAGGAATTGTCGAGAGAGCGAGCGAATGCGTGTTTCAGCTTGAGGAAATTCGCGTCCCAATCTCGCCGCTCGTCTTTGGCTGCAGGTGATCCTGGGGGGTCTCCTGAAGCCGCGAGGGTTGATCGTGGTGGACAACGTGCTGTTCGCGGCGACCATGTTCACCCCGCACAGCGTGGACCTCAAGAACACCATCGGGGAACACGCCCACCGCTTCAACGAATTTCTCGCCCAGCAGAACAACCTCGACAAGGTCCTTCATTGCATCTCTCTCCCTCTCCTTCTTTCTCTCTCTTCCTCTCTTTCTTTCTTTCTCTCTCTATCACTCTCTCTCTCTCTTTTTCTTTCCTTTATCTCCCCTCCTCTCATCTCTTTTCTCCACCGGAAATTAATATTTCGAGAGAATAGCTCATCAAAGACTTTTATCTGTACATCTGTCGAAGCAGTTCTGTTCGCCTACTCTCTTACATTGCGGTTTCACATATATTTGAAAGGATTGTTTGCTATTTGCTTCGACGTTATATATGGGGTGGCGCAAAAAACGCGCCCTTTTTGACACCTTATAAAACCGACTTTGAAAATTCTATGTTCGCGTTTTTTTGCGTCGCAATGGAAACTCTACAAATTTTGTTTCATGAAAGTTTCAAGTGTCTCGGTCGTCTTGATAAAAGGCGACAGTAACTCAAATTGGAGCCACAAAATGTAACTTTTTCCATGCATGAGATGGATGTAGTTTCAGCACGGCTCTAAAGATTTATCTCCTTTGACGCCACGAAAGCTGTTTTTTTTTTTCTAAATTATTATTATGTGTCCAGGACATAGTATTCTTGATTGTGTTGTGTCTTTTTTGGCCTCAGGTGAGAAGATAAGGCCTGAAATTGGCAATGCGTTTAGAGTGTAAGGACCGGAGGGGGAAGAGTTACCTATCAAACATTCCTATTGTTAAGAACGTTTCTATAAGAATGCAGCCATAGGGAGCAGGCTTTTTGGCGACAAATGGGACACACGAATTTTCCTAAGTTTCAGCGACTGTTACTCCTTACCCAAACTAGCTAGAGACTTGAAAACTTTCATGAAACCTATTTTAGTTTTTCTTGTGTGATACAAAAAAATTTTAAAAGTTCTAAATTAAAAAATCTAACATCATCTGTAGTAGGTAGCTTCAAGCTGGACTGTTTTTTTTGGCGCCACTCCGTTCAGTTTTAGTTTTTCTTTCAGTTTTCATGTATTTACAAGTTTCTCTTTGTTTTGCTTTGTTTTCACACGTCGCCAATGGTCTTGGGATGAAATAACTCTCTCGGCGAGTTTTAGTTCTTATTCATTTTCCATTCCTGCACCTTGTCATGACTTTCAATGCTATCAATATTTTCTCTCTCTTTCTCTCGCTCTCTTTCAATCTTCTCAATTTTATATGAGTTGCATTGCAAATTTTTCCGGCAGGTGATTCTGCCGATTCGAGACGGGGTAGCTCTCGTGTGCCGCCGTGATCAATGAAGATCCAAATTGAGTTTCTTTGCTTCGCTCGAGTTCCTTGAATTGTGCAGGCATCCCCAACGTCATCGAGCAATAAATTGCATTTCCAACTTCGTCGAAGGTCGCAGTCTCTTGGAGCTGTCAGATCGATGGTTTATCTGCATGGAAGGAAATTGCTCCAGCATAAAAAAAAGGGTAAGGAAAAATGAGACCTTTACGCTGATTGGAAGCGGCAGGGTATGTGATGTCAAGCATGCCTGAATCCCTGGGGTGACTGATCCCTCGTAAATAAAGACTACATGAAGCGGCCTCGATCGATCGGCCTCTGCATTTCCAAGTTTCAATCAAAAGAAAGGACAAGTCCCAGAGGAAATTAATTAGACCTCTATTCCCGGACTCAACCATGAAATCCTCATCAATCTTCCTGAAATCTTTGTCTTCTGATAAAGGAAAGTCTTGTCATGGGTTTGATCCAGGGTTGACGGAAGAGCCGATTGACGCTCCATCAATTCAGGATTGCCGGCTCCGTTATGACCTTCGATGTACTTGACCTCGTTAGGCAACGTTCTCTCGACTGACTCCAAATTGGCTCTGTGTCTTTCTATTCAATGCCTCAAAACCTAGGGGGAATAAATTTTCTTCAATGTTCTTTTATGCCTTTTCTTAACTCATTTCTATTTATTCACGCTGCACACGCTTCAATTTGCGTCTGCGCTGTGGTTTACTAGGTTCGGTTTAGATAGAAGTTGGGGAGCCCTCAACCTGCCTTTTGACTGAAAGTAAATTTGAAAAAATTTGAAAAAGCAGCGTAGTGAACAAATGCTGCGGACTGCATGTTGTACATAAGCTATTATTCTCCGATTGGTTCCTCTTCCTGTCACACTGCGAGTAGTGGGTGCAATGCATTTAAGTTTATATGTAAGGTGCTGACATCGAAACATTTGTAATAGCGTCTCGAAGTTTCTCTTTCCGGCTTCGGACTCTTATTGAACCCTATGAGATCCGAACGCTCCTTGCCTCTTGCAGGCTGCATCTCTGCGTCTCGAAGGGAAAGGCCGCGCTAATTTTGGCGAGGACGACCCCGGAGAACCAGGCGTCCACAGCCTCTCGGCGGATCATCTCCGACGCGGCATACGGCAAAGTGCCGCACTGCGTCCGGCCGGTGACCGGGTCGACTCCATTCGCCCGGCGCGCGAATCCGAAATCCGACAGCTTCGCGTTCAAGCGATGGGTCGCGAGCACGTTCTCGCCCTTGACGTCTCTGTGGGCGATCCCGCACTCTTCATCCGGGTAGTCGAGGGCGTGGGCCAGCTGCGAGAGCCGGGCGTCTGGGCGATGGCCAAGGAAACGATGGACGAATCGTGAACATCATCAAAAAGTATGGGGAGAGGATTATTGCTAAAGAAAATCTCGTTAGTTTGGATCGAAGTGGTTATGCCTAATCGTGTCCCTACTTCGAAAACTCTCCGGGGAGAGGAATCGACTCCAGGGGATATATTGTAGAAAGACGGTGAAAGGAAAATGCCAACCAACCCTCGAAGGGATGGAAGGAACGATCATCGGCTTTCCGTGCCTTTGTTCCATCGACCGAGCTTAGGCAGGCTCACCTCGCATTCGCTAGAAAGGGTGCCCCACCCTGCATCTTTTCCAACGCATCATTGCTCCGCTGTTTTTCCATCTTTCAAGGATCCATTTTCCTCCTTAGAGGCTTTTCGGAGGACTGGCACGCCTATTTCGACAGTTTCGTCCAAAAAATTAACTGCCTCTTTGCAATCGATTTCCAGAACAAAATAAGTGACAATGAAGAGAATCATGAAATGATAACATAGATATTTGAAAGGACAAAGAAAAGATGCTCAGAAGTGAGAAAAAGAAAGAGAAAAGAAGCTAAAAAGGGAACTCGACGACGTAAGCAAAGATGAACCGAGATGGGAAATGAGTAAGCCAAAGTCGCCCGTGTCTCTCGAGATGTTGAAGGAGATTCTCCCGTTCGGCCCAGCGCATGAAGGCGTAGCTGCGACTCGGCGTTTCCAGCACCGAATAGTGCTTATTGGCGTGAGGGTGACGGAGGCACCCGGTGATCTCCCGTTCCCTAGGGCAGTGGTTCCCAATCTTTTTTAATTTGCGGCACCCATAAGGACACTTGAGCTTTCCACGGCACACTTAACCATTTACTTACTTTCAATGAGAAGCTTGTGCTTGCTTCGCTGAACACAGCAGTTTGATACGAGGCGTGAGTACAACTCTCAACTCATTTTCCACTGAGAGATGGCGTTCCCTCTTTTTTAAATGTTTTTTTTTTAGTTGTATTATTTATTATTTAGTCAACTCTGAAATCTCAGGGCACACCCTTCGGGAAATACTGCCCTAGGGTATAGCCGCCTCTGGCACCCGGAGCGTGTCCACGACCTTGCATCCCACCACCAACCCTCCCGCCCCCAGCATAGGACCGTCATTCCATCCTGTGGGCCAGTATTGTCTGGAGTCTCACTGAACAAGTATTATTAGAAAATCGAATATATTTCATGATGTTCTATGCACAAATAAAAATATACATCCAACTTTGAGTGTACAGGAGCGATGCTACGGTGAGATCAGGGGGATACTCATCAGAGCGGCTATATAGTCGCCATCTCGCGTCGGTTGTGCACTGTAGAAAAAACCTCATGAGATTTTCGAACGGAGGCCTCATGAGGTTTTAGTGAGGTTTTTTTCAGCAGGGGTCGTTCTCAACCGATGGGTCGTGAGAGAATGAAATGATTTAAAATTAAAAGATAGGTATCGAGAAGACAGAGATCAGTCATAAGTCCCAAATCGGAATACAGGGCTGTATAACTAGAGCTTCACACTCCAGGAACGATCTAATCTATCAATCCAGACCAGAAGGCAGCATATAAGGAGAAGGCTTGCTGGCAAACATTTCCAAGTGGCAAGCAGCTCTAAAATGTATTTTTAATCATTCTTGCTCTTAACCTCCATCTCCAGTGACCTCGTCAGTTCTAGCTTTGTTCCTCGGTGCCGTGGTTAGGGGTGACGCGGTTTTTGCTGGCAGATGCCGATTTTCTCGATTTCGTTTCTCTGCGACCTGAACTATTTCCTTCTCTCTATTTTTTTTTTTTTTTTTGAAGAGGGAGGTTTACGAAGTTCATCTCATCCATAATATCCTGTAGTTATTTATTTGGGTTTTACATTCAAATGCAGAAGGATCATTTCCTGATAAAACCGAATGCAAAGTTTGTGGTGAAAAGCTGGCCAATGCATCCATGAAGCCTTTGAATTTAAAGCAGAATTTAGATCGAAATCACCCAGCATTGAAGAATGAACCAGTCGAGTTCTGTTTATTTTTAAATTCATGGGAATATGAATATGGGAAGAGGATTTGATGGGTCGCGACATTAAAAGATTGAGTACCATCGGTATTTAAAAAAAAAAGTCAAAAAGTTCTTTTTTCTTCTTCTTTCTTTTTGCTCATTGACTTCTAATAACTTCGATTCATTTGCGCAACTTTACAGTTGAATGAGCTCAAAAAGTTCCCAGACCCCCGAAAGTTTCCCGGCTGATATTGCCATTTTGGATTAATTGATTAGGAAGCACTTTCCTTATTTGAAAAACTTCGACGCTTCCTTACAATTAGCGAAAATTTCAGCCATTTTGCCCTGGAAAGTGCCGCATGTTCGTTATCTCCCTGCGCCCCACGAAGAACGGCGCATTTTCTCGGACAAGACAGGCACGTTTCCAAGTACTCTCCAAGTACTTTCCACTGGGTTCGCTGCGAGTGCAGCAGCTGTTCAACCGTATGAGAAAATGAGTAACACCGAATGATGAACTAATGACCACTTATTAGCTGATCTTTATTTTCAACTTTCATCCGTAATTCAGTCGTCATTCGAGTTCTGGTTGCATACATCTTTGGTGACACCCGAGTCCGCTTGGACAAGTTCAATTGCAAAATGTAGGCTGAACCCTTAAAACAAAATCGAGAACAGATCGGTTTCTTCTGTCGCTCAAAATGTTCTCCGACCGTGGGCTGCCTTTCCTGCTTTTTAGACTCTGGAAGGTTGTGTCCTGCGATGAGCCTTTCCATTTCCTGGTTTGCTGTTTCGTGGCTTCTGTGGGTGTTGTTCGGTTGGATTACCCGAGGTGGCAGGCTTTCTTTCTTTTTTTTTTTTAAGAACGTCCGAATACCACCGGATTCATGATGGCACAGGGTCAACGCGAGCTATGGCATCGAAGACAACGGAGGCGATCGAGTGCCAAGGACAGAGTTTAACGGATTATCCCCCTTCTTTAGAGCCACTTTCGGCGTTTCCTTAAGGGTAAGCTCTTCCCTTAATTTCCAACCTGCAAATTGAAAAGCGCTCTCTCGCCCTTTCACCCCTGTAAACAATATATCTATGAATTACGGACTTGAAGCTCCTTCCATTGAGTGAGGTACCAAGTTCATTATCAAGTACTAGTCAGTGCTTAATATCTGTATCTCAAAAACGGCAAAATCGATCGCAAAACCACGAAATCAATCCAAAGAGATTTTCATCACGAGCCAATACACCGAGTGGCTCTTCCTAAATTGGGCGCGTTTTCATGCAAATCGAGCAAAACTTTTGCTCCATAGAGTCCCATTATAACGGTCTGGTTACATTCTCTAAAGCCAGGTGCCGAACGTGTCCCAAGCAATCGAGGAATGAGGGTTGTAAATGAAGGCACTCGACCCCCTCGTTCCCTATTAGCCGGTCACCCAGGGCGGTTGCGGCGAGAGCTTTCATGGATGCGAAGAGCGGAGGGTCTGCATTCCCCCTCGAGGAACCCATGTCTAGGCAGGGAGAAAGGGAAGGAGAAACAGGAGGAAACCAGACGGTGAAGGCCTTTTCCTTCCATGGCTTGGAAGTGACAATTTCATTCGAAAATGACTTCTGTATTCGATGACCTGTCCATGTAAACGGCTGGGTATGCTCCGCGGCATATGATCGGGAGTGTAAACTCTCTTGCGCGTCATGTGCAATTTGTTCAAGAATATTCCTGCGATATCATGGAAGTGGCAATGGGAGCCGATTGAGAACCCAAGCTATCTCTTGACCTTTAATGTGAATAGAGAGAAGTTAATTGAATGGGACGGGTATCGGGGAATCATTTTTCGGTGAGTCGTACAGCTTTCCACGATGAAAACAGCTCCGTTTTTCCGACCCAATCATGGCCCTCGTTTCATCAAGAAAGTTTCTATAGTCCACCATTCATCATCTTCGATTGTACTGGAATCCACGCGAGTGAGAAATCATAGCAATTAGAGTCATGTTCCCTCCTCGTCGAGTATCGACCCAGTCCGGTCTCTTCGATGGGCAAATATGAGAAAGCCTAACTGGAAGCATATTTCGGCGCGGAAATCGAAGCAGAAACCCTCGTAACAGGAACTGAATAATTGCATGCTTTGTTTTTGGTTCATAGGTTCATGTTGACCGTTGTACTGAAAGAGACGTCAAAATCTCTTTCCTGATAGATAGATGGACCCTGTTCGCATCCAAATAAAAATGTTCTGACGCTCGTGAGGAAATTTCACTCGGTGTCCCTCTCCATCCGATGAGCCATCTTTGAGGCAGTATTCATCTTTCTTAGAGGATGTTCTTTTATGCATGTTTTACCGAAAACTTGCTTTCACATCATCACAGACAGGTCAGAGAAGAGAGGTCATCCTGAATAAAGTCGTTCTTTCCACGGGGAAAAAGGAATTAGGAAAGCATCTGTCCTTTACTGTCTGGTTATTATTCCTTTCGGGGGGACGGGGACGGGGACGGGGACGGGGGGGGGATGCTCACCCTCGCCTCATCGCGTCCATGAAGGAGGTTCTTCCTTTCCAGCTCTCGGGTTCAGAATCGAGTCGGTTGGTATACTTGGAAATTCCATCCGGAATTTCCATTCCACGAGTGATGCGATGCATTTATTCCATTCCTGTCACCTAAATGTAGATTTCTCGCCCCCACTGACTTCCCCTTGATCTAGAACTGACAATTCCCTCGTTCGCTTTCCTGTCCCTGGACGAAACTGCTAGATCTCATCAATGAAATGGTGGAGGTGCAGAAAGTATCATTATTAGTAGATTACGGGTGACATGCACCGGATCCGTTTAAGCTAAACTAACCTGATCTCGCAATGGTCCCCTATGAGAATCAGTTTAACAGATAAACTTATTCCCATAGACGCCCATGATGAAAACGAATCAGTCTAAAGTTAAACGAATCTGGTGCATGTCACCCTATGTCTGAAGGAGGAGGATGGTCGTATTCAGGGAAGGGGGGGGGGGGGAGTTCGTTCCCCTCGATCAGATGAGAGACCCGATGGAGGTAGACGGATTTCTAAGAAACGCTTTCCGTCGGAGTGAGCCCTGAGGCGAAAGTAGGACTGGGAGACGCTATGCGACATTATGCAACACCTTCGCCCTAGCTCAATTTTCAGGAAGGACCCCCCCACCCCCCCCTTAATAACGACCTTCCTTTCGAAGTTTACACTTCGAAGTTTAGAGAAAACTCGGGAAAGATACGGACTGGATCCAGCTTTCTCTTCTTTCTGTCATCTACGTTTCGATGTTGTGATGCGGACCCTAAAAAACCCTTAAAATAAGCATACTGCATACATTATCGCAGTCTTTAAAGACCTTCAAAAAAGCCCTTAAGACACTGATAATGTATGCAGTGATGCAGAGACGTGGCCATCGCGATTTGGAAGCTCTAACACGTGCTCTGAGAACGCGGAACAGTTCCAAAGACAGACCTTTGTTTGAATTAAGATGAGTTAGTGGCCTGGCAGGAAACGAACACCTCTAGAGGGTGTTTACCCTTACAGAAATACCAATTACAGTCATATGTGCAGGATATATATGGACATATTCCACTATATATGCGCCAAACATGGCTGGAAAGAGTTAAAGGACTTTATATGGCCAAAACATGATATGGATATATATAGACATATTTGTGTAATATGTTTCAAAGAACCCATGCATGGCCATATTTGATATCATGTATTAAGTCTTTATTTGGAACTCCCGTACGGGTATGTAGGGAAATGGCGCATTTACCTTTCTTGAAAGGTAATCAGTGAAGATGTCCCATGTCCCGGGAAGATTTAATTCGTGTTCTCATTTCCTATTCAATGAATATTGATGATTCCATTTACTCAGGAACTTTCCTTTTGCGGCCATGTTCCGGTCCCAATCTTCTGCATCCAGAGGACGATCAGGCCCTCTATAGCCCTTGGAGAGGAATGGGAAGTAATACCCCAACCTGTGTAAACACTCCTGGGAAGGTTCATTTGCTCAAGGGCTTCTCCAAAGAAGAGCGTGGGGAATGATCTCACTTGCTCAGCAGAAAGGAAACGAAAATAAGTCCCTTGGCTCTCATCTTGCGAGCCGGATATTGAGGCATTGAAAAGAAATGCTGGACCTTTTCCTTTATAATGTAAACTTTTTTTGTATTACAGTAGGGGAACAACGTGTCATGCGAAGGATATGTTCGGGTTTTTTGATGTGAGGGTCAAAAGGACAAAGAGGGCATCACAGAGAGGTCAGGACCGAGGAGAAGGAGACGCTTTGGAATGAGAGGTTTCCGTGATCAGATTCTTCTTCTTGCACTGGATGGGATGCCACATGGCGATGGGCTTACGAAGGGAGGTCATCATCTGGTTCCAGTGCGAATAGGCCCTTCCTGTGGCTTTGGGACCCAGGACGACCAACCCCAGGATCCCCTCGTTCCCTTCCTCCTTCGCATCCAACAACACCAGCCTCAGGGAAGTGATCTGGAAAAATGCAAGACTCCCGTGCATGCGACAGTCGGCATCGTACTCAAAATTCCTGCTCACCTCTTGAATAACTCACGACTGAGTTGTCAGATTACGATCCGGTTTGGGTCATTTAAAATCCAAGAAAATTTTCTCTTCGTATCATTTATTTCGTATCATTATATCAAGAACAATACGTTGAAGTTAAAAGCTTGAGATCCTTCTTCACAATTCGTTCGTTTCGGGTTTTCGTACTCTGTTGCGCGCAAATCCGATTTTCCAGTGGTTGAGAAATCTTCCTATTGATCAATTCAATGTTTACTTCAGAACGGACGTCCAGAACGGGAGGGTACGCAACTATTCCCGCTGAATCGAAATTTGAATCCATTTGAACAATCGACTTACGACTGCCAGTTTCTATTTTTAAATTTATTGTCCAGCGGTCTCCGTTGCATTTGGGTCGAATTTAGAATCAAGCATAGCCTATCGATCGTCAGTCGTTTCTCGGTCTTTTTTAAAAATTGAAATGCCGTTGAATTCCTTGAAACCATATGAATACAACGAGCAAGCGTAATTTCAGATACGATACGTGGAAAAAAATTGAACTGAAAAAATGAATTTAAATTATGTCTCAGGAAGGAGATATTTTTCTTACATACGAAAACGTATCTCATTTCTGATTAGATATGAGAGAGAGAGAGGGGGGGGGGAGAGAGAGAAATAAAACGTATCTCCATATTGAAAATTTCATTGCCTTTCTGATGCAAACTGCATCTCAATCTCATCTAGCACTCCAACATTATCAACGCCGAAATGGTGGGCAGGAATTTTGACTCACCCTTTAGTTAATATACTTGTGTGTGGAGCGTGAAGGCACAACTGTAGCTAACCTCACTCCCCCATTCATAAACTAGGGCAAAGATGACGGTAAACAGTGAGGGTAAGGCAAACTAGGCAAGGCCCAGCCTGGTAATAAGCCTCCTTTGAGAGTACCACCATAGACGACACGGACGACGAAAGGGGATGTGAGGATGGAGCAGTGGCCAGGCCGTCAATGGGTAAGCCCACTACAGCCACAAATCACGAGCCGCCGCTGGGGTGGAGGGGAATAGGAAGGGGGAAGGCTGGCGACGGTCCGAGATGGGATTCTGGCTCCTCTGCGCGAGGGAGACGGCCGCTCAGTCGTGCTCCCCTCTAAAAGTTTCTGAATTTTTCATATTTGTTATAAACGTGTTACCAGGTGAGAATTTTCAGAAACCACCTAAAGAGTAGTGGTTCATTCCGAGTTCACAATAGTTCATAGACCTGCTGGGAAATTAAGGGGTACTGCCTAGGGTACTCCTGGTGCAAAGGGAGTGCTTTCATGAGCCCCGGGATGGGTGCCACATGGTACTCTGCCACCGTATAGGGGCACGGGTCCGAAAACGTGCCTCTGTTGATCGCTGGCGCGATCATAAAACGTATATCCCACACAGCACAGGGATATCCCAGGGATGTCCCTAACTGGACGACTTGTCCCCATGTCTTTATAGGATATCCTGAAGACATCTTCTTTCGGACAGTTTCGGACATCTCGTAAGGGATGTCTTCGGGACGTCTTTTATAAGGGGATATCTCTGGGATATCTTTGGGATATACCTGTGCTGTGTGGGATTAAGCGTATGGTCGCTTGTACGAGACAGAGTGACGTCTTTGAAGAAACCTTTTGTGGTTCTTATCTGTCTTTGCTTGGAGTAGGGCTTCGACCTTTCCTTAATCTCGGAATACATTCCTTAAGAACTGTTTAAGTTGCCACGTAAAATAGGGAAAGGTGATTGCCCCAACGTGAAGCAACCTTATGAAAGATCCTTAATTCGGGTCGCAAAAAGAGCGAATGGGGGACTCAACTGGGAGGCTGGCCCGCAATGTATCTTCAGGCGCTTTTTTTCCCGATCAAAGGGGTAGAGAATTACCGATTACCGAGAATTACCGATGGTTTATACGAGGTGATCCTAAAAAAAGAGACTGGTTCCGATCGCCTCTCTGGAATGGAACAGTTCTTCACATGCGTTTTGCATCATGATCGTAAGAAAAGCCCCAAGTTTTCATCGACACAGCTTCTAAAACCCACGGGCGAAGCCAAAAGTCTGCTGAATGAAATGGAAAAACTCAGAAAGCGACAAGATTTCGTTAAATGCCCAAAAGCATTCGAAAAATTCGAGAGAAAACGCCTCCAGGCCCGACGAAGCCGCTGCAACAAATCAATCAAGACGATCTCCTTTGGTCACTTTCGCTTCTGGGAATCTGAGATCACGACGTGATTAAGTCAAGGTGAGCTGATCTACTTGAAATAAATTTTTTCATGAGTTCTTTTCAGAGCTTTGTCCTCTCCGACCTCGTTCACGCCAGAGAGTTTTCTCGGCAACTTTCCTTAGCAAGTCGCTTTGCAAATGAAACTCTCTCGGAGTGAGCGTCTTTAGATGTCTCATTTGCATGATTCTTTCATCCAGAGTCAACTTTGCTATCTAAAGGAGAAAGTTCTTTTTGTTTTTTGAGCGGAAGGTAAACGATTTTGAGAATAGATTGGAACTGTGCAGACAATAGCTTTCATCAAGAAATTCCGAAAATTAAGAAAGTTTGTAATGAGACAAGTGCACAGGACGAAGGCACAAAGAGGCTTCGGAGGAGAAAACCTCGGCGAACTCCACGAATTCCACAATAAGGTCTCCGAATGCAATCAACGAGGCGAACGGGAGAGAAATGTTTTCATCGACCGAGTAATCTATCTGACAATATCCAACGGGATCTTGGGCTTCATATAGCATTCCATTCCCAATCAGCGCTCGCACGTTCTTCTCCAGTTGCAGACGATATCGTCATGGCTCTATTTTGAGCATCGTTATGAGCGTAATTACGTGGAAGAAAAGAGTGCATCACGGACCTGCGAATGTGAGCGATTTAACGGCGATTTAACGGCGATTAAACGGCGATTTAACGGCGATTAAACGGCGATTTAATCTAAGGAGGCACTCTGACCTTCATACGAACGGCGTTCAGCGAATCGGGGCTCGAGGAGGTTCACGGCGGGGGATCTCATCCGGGCACTCAGCATGATTAAGGACTTTGAGAAATTGAACTTTCCTTAACTGGATGGAAAGAGCGAGGAGATTGCTCGCGCGAGCCTCGAGAGATGCTCGGATTCCCTTGCTTGGGTGGCGGACGCCTGGAGTGCAATCCCTGGATGGCTTTGCATGCCTTTTGGTAAAGCAAAGATGCGAAATACAGTCGTAAGTTAGGAGATGATGTTGATACGCTGCCACCGAAATATTTTGTCTTCAAAAAGGTCGATATTTAAATTATCGTTAGGCTTCGACTCGGGATGCGAATGAGGACAGAAATGTCTTCTTGACACCAATTCATGCATCGAAGCCTCCCCATCCCGCCCGAATAAGCTGCTTCGTCACCTTCCCGATTCGACGCCGGCACCCAAATCGAAAGGAAACGCTTTCGTTTCTCGATTTCAAGGGAGCAGAGATGGTTGCCTCTGCCAAGTGGAGGGTCCCCGATTCGAGTAATTCAATTTCAGAAACGTTGATGTGGGCTATTCTCAAAATTATTGTTATTATGAAATTTATTGAAAAGGATTTTCTATTGTCCTTGTTCCTATTGTCCTTGCTAAGGTACTATCTATTGCAGACGGAAACAAGACGATTTTGAAACAGTAATAACGTGTGAGCTCCGATCGACCACGGCATACCGAATGATGTCTAAGGCCCGAATACCGAAACCTCCTTTGGTTAACGGTCCTTCATAACACCGTGGATTCCTATGGAGAAAGGCTTAAGGGCCCTTTCATTTTGCCTAAATGAGGCATCGGCATTCGGGCCATGACCCTTGCATTTAGCCTGCGCGCCCGACGAGAATTCATTTCCCTGCGTCGATGGTGAAAAATCCTGAAGAAAAAAAAAGAAAGGTCAATCGTGACTTTGAAAGAATCTCGCAGAGAAGTTTCCTTTGCGAATCGACTTGAATAGAAGAGTGCCAGAGGAACTTTGCGATTAGAACAAGACCTCGAATGGAGATCGGACGGGAGGAATCGTCTCTCCCTTTCGATTCCTTCTCTCCAGGCACAATGCCCTTGGAGGAAATTGAAGGCAGGGGGGGGGGAGGAGGGGGGGGGGGGGGGGAAGGAGGGGGGGGGGGGGGCGTATCGATGGCGAGGCCATGTCTGTAGTTTCCCATGTGTGCAGATATAATGTGTGAATTTATTGTAGGATTTTTCCTTTTTCTTCGACAGCGACCGCATCATCGTCGCGAAAACGCTTTCGAGAGAACTCGAGGACGAAAGATCTCTCTCTTTACTGGCGAGGAAACAGAAAAAAAAGAGGGAAACTAATTTCCGTCCTCGCTTCGCTCCGACTTCCCATTCTTTTACGATTTCCTGGAATCGATGACACGGGAAAGGGCTTTAAAAAGGGCTTGCCCTTGCAAGGTCGAGGGACCGACGGCCACCAAGGAAAAAAAAAAACAACAACAAAAAACAAAAAAACAGAATGCTCGAATTTTGCAGGAATGTTAATTTTTCCTCCGACCGAAAGTTTCGGCAAGAAGCAGTCCACAAGCCCCGACGGTGCACCCCAGCAAATTTGATGGATTATGCAAATCTGATGTACATAGAAGATTCGATGGATACTGGAGGTGTTTTACATTTCTCTTCGAGTTGAGATCCAGCCCCTTCTCCCCAACCGAATTCCTCCCACATTGAAAGACGTCGAGGCAGGAAGCCGAGATCATCCATGCGTTCGTCCATAAGAAAGGAGGAGTCAGAAAGTCCGGAAGAAATTTTATTTTACTTTTATTGTGGTAATGAAAGCAAAATTCGATTATCAGTGTGTATCTCGGTTTCCACGATTACCAACATCTGAACCATTAGCAGTCCTCCCGTGAACAGTGAACCGTGAACCGTGAACCGTGAACCTCTTCCGTAATTCTCTTCTTCATTAATTCCGTATTCGCTGTTATATATAACAGCGAATACGGAATTACTCCACTGCTTTGCGACCCAGAAAACCATCGAAAAGCGTGCAATTCGGAAAACTCCGGCGAACTTCGCCGCATGAACCGCAAAACCAGCGTAACCAGCCTCGAAGAAGCCACTCCCGCGAGCGAGCTGAGAGGACGGCGAGCGAATCCATAGTGCCTTCTCGGAATGCATCCTCCCTCCTCCGTTCCTCTGCCTCCAAAATTTCTGTGCGCCTCACCCGAAAAGCTTTCCCGTAAATTTTGTTATGGCTTATGACATCGTCTTATGGTAATGGCTTGAAAATCGGCAGCGATAAATAGAATAAAAATCCCAAAGATTCCCTTTCACGTACGTGTATGCATCACTCGCTAAAAATTATGGTTAAAAATTAAATTGTAATAATTAAAATTTTTTAAAGCTAATTAAAATTATTTGTAAAATGCTTAATAATTTAAGAATGACGAGGAATGAATTAATCTGGATTTTGCTGGACCCTTCATCGCCCATTACCACCCCTCCTTTCTCGACCTTATTTGGCTCCTCTGCCCAGCTCCTGTTGGGTCCTTGGCTCAGCTCCCAGAAACAACGATGTTGCGAACTTAAGTTCGTGGATTCATCCCCGTAAATGGTAACTTCGGGCTCGTTTTTGCTCAACGTGCCACAACTCCGATTTCCGATTGACGATCGTCACGATTCTGAGCCGAATTTGCTCTGTTTTGCCCTTCTACGCTTCGCGTTCCACCATGAAGCTCGGGGGAGCAAGGCGACCGGAGGAAATAAATAATCCATAAACGGTATCTATCGCAGTGACGTCACTGAAATCTCTCGGGGAAACAAATGCAATAGGTCGGGTCCGATGGTCTGCAATGACCCTTGGCGATTCCCTCTGGACCCGCTGGGTGATGCATCTCCGTCTCCGCTAATCGTGACAGCAAGCCCCTGAAATTCCCCTGAAATTCCCCTGAAATTCCCCTGAAATTCCCCTGAAATTCCCCTGAAATTCCCCTGAAATTCCCCTGAAATTCTGAAATCTTCCTGAAATTCTCCTGAAATCCTCCCGATGGTCGGGAACTTCATGAAAAAACAGGAGGAGAGTGGGTATCAGATGACTTTTACCGAAACTCGAGACGACAAGATTAATAACGGGGATCGAGGTTCCTTTGACTCGAAATCCGATCGCGGAACATCCCGTCGGGTAGGAATTTGAGATCGGGTGCGACGAAAGGGAGACTTCATCAGAAAGAGCAGGGAGAAGCCGTTCCTGGGGAAACGTTTAATGAGATCTCACGACGAGATAACGAGATCCCCGCGACATATAATCGTTCCTTTGGTTCTGCGGGAGTTCCCGGGGGGGGGGGGGGGGGGGGGGGGGGGGTTTCCGGACTTTCTGACTCCTCCTTTCTTATGGACGAACGCATGGATGATCTCGGCTTCCTGCCTCGACGTCTTTCAATGTGGGAGGAATTCGGTTGGGGAGAAGGGGGAGAGAAGGGGGAGGGGGGGAGAGTGGAGAATAAGTGCATAGGCATCCATGGGAAAGAAAGAAGAAAGGTTATCGATCTGATCTGATCTTTCAGACGCTTCCCCATACTTTCCCGATTCTCTCAAGTCCGGTCACGATCGGATCGTCCTGGCTTCCTGTCCGCCCCAGTCCCATCACCCCACTCCGTCGCGGAAACCGTCCTCATGTCTACGTCTTAAGGGGAGTCTACGTCTTAAGGGGAGTCCATGTCTTAAGGGGTTTAATGGGAGGATGGAATGACGGTTGTCGTACGTGCAGAGTCGAATGGGGGACGCTGAAGATCATGGCCTCGTTGTAGACCGGGGCTGGGTCGTTCTTCTTCGTCGACGTCTTCTTCTTCTGCACTTTCTTTCCGCTCTGGAGAAGATACACCTGCAACCCACGTCCCGCACAATGTTCATGGTTGCCGTTCACAAATTCGTAATCCTAAGACGAAGTCATCCTCATTTTTTTTTTCCCTGGGGGGGGGGGGATGAGAGAAATCCCTCTACTTTGCCTTTTCGTTCCTTCCATTATTCCAAGAGCTTTTTCCTCTGTCTTCTGCTCGAACGCACTAGATCAACAGAAGTAATTCCTTTGATGGACTCTTTGTGCGATGATGCCCTTTCTCGATGAGAGTGAATCGGAGAGTGAACGGTATTGTCCGGGAAAATCCCCAGAAATCATTTCGGATTCTTTTGGCACGTCCGGCGCCATGTTAGTAACAGCAGCTATGAATCCTACGTCGCCGCCATCTTGAAAATTTTTCTACAAGGATTTCCGGGAACATGCCATGTACGTCTGCTTTTGACCATGGTGCTTGAAATCACGATGCTTGGTCAGCGTCTGTAGTCCGAGGAACTAAACCAGAAGGTGGACGGACACACGAGATGGAAACTTATCGACGAGCGTACGAGTGAATTTAAATTCTAACTGAAACGCGTTTCGATTCAGACTGGAACTCGTGTACAATTGTACTGTTGCCTTCCTTGAATTTTTCTTGCACGTAATGACGGAAGTTTTCCATTTACCTGCGGCACCTGACAATGAACAAATGGCTCTGGTCGCATTCCTAAGGCTTCTCTACTCAAAGCTCGTTGAACACCCCAGACGCCATGGAATGCCGCCGTGGACACGAGACTCACCTTGACGTAGGGATCGACGGTGGAATGATTCGGTAGGGGAAGGAGACTGCGGGCCTTGACGATGACGACGGTGAGCCTCTCGGCCGTCGGCAGGTAGCTCAACGAGCACATCACCTCACCCAGCCCTACAGGCTTCTGCTCCCCCGACACGAGATTCGGCAGTCAAAGAGATCGTGAATGAAGTCCGCGAATCGTTTTTCCTTCCGAACTCAAAAAAACCGCTTGCTCCCGGACCCATATTCTCACAAATTTACCATAGTGGAAGGGGTTTTGCTCGGAAAATATTTTTATTTTCAATGCATTCATACCATGTAAACAATAATGAGACGTTTGACATTCCCTACGACCTTTGAATCTGTTCCAACGTTATACTGTACGTAGTTTCTTTATACTTTAGTAGTATCTGCATACTAGGGAATGCTATCACCATCTTTACGTCTGGTGCCGAATTCATCAGCTAATCGGCAGAAAGCTCGAGAGTTCGTCAACGATTCATTTCAGCATGAAAGAGAAGCAAAATCATCCGATTCACACCCGAAAGACATTCAATTAATTTCTGAAGCGATTCATACCTGGTGAAAGACGTCGTGAAGGGGAAGCCAGTTGGAATAAGCTGAGAAGAGCGGCACGTCTTTGAGTGGGAGCAGGGCCTCGCCCAGGAGGGAATAGGAATCCAAATCCCTGCCTGGCAACCCTGTCCCCTTCCCCTCGTCCGGGGAGACGACGTGGAGGTAGAAGGCGAGGGTCCGGGTCTCAGTCTCGCTGGGATCCTCGAGGGAGAAGAGGAATTTCTCGCGGAACTCTGGGCTCTGGGAGTTCCATTGTATCTGTGCATGCATGAGATTATGCGTTGCGGAGGATCACGGGGATCTGTCGTTCACAGGATACGTATTTTGAGGTTTTCTTTGCACATTTCTATACGTATAAGCTTTGAATAAATTTTAAAAGGCCTACTTACATGTACTTAAACTTCTTCAATTTCAAATTCTTATGCTCCTTCATATATTGAAGTACAGGATTTTTTCCCCAGCCTTAAACCTGTTCCTCGACTGTTTAGTTAACCATCTGAATGCAGTTTGCAATATGATAAAGAGGTTCTCTCTCGTATGGAAATTGGAGAAAAGAGTGGTTAATGAATTATAATTTTAAAAAAAGCTAAGGGCACGGCATTGTACGTCGAGAGCTCTCGAAAATTCTAACTAGTTTCTGTGGAGACACGGACTATCCTGCCTCAAAATGCCATATTAGCGGCTTCCAGGAAGCAGATCTGTTAAAGAAGAGCTTTGTTCGTACAATACCGATTCCTCCTTTCATGAGATTATGGGGGAATGAAGAGCTGTTCCGGGAAAATCAGGGTTGTCACATTTTCCCATCTATCTCGAAATAGACTCATAGCACGGTACAGAACGAACTTTAAAAAAAAATTCGCCTTAAAATAAACCACGGAAGAGAAGAGGAAGAAGGAAATAGCGAAAAGGGGGTGAGGATGGGAAAGTTGGTGACGATCGTAATGACCTTGACGAAGGTGATGGAAATTGAAAAGCCGGAAAAGAACACAAGATATCTGAAAGGACGATCTCAGGGGGCCTCTCACTTGGCCGACATGAGAAATGCACCTGACAGCGTGCCTCTATCTGACGACAGTGAAGAATGTCGCGATCCCTAGAGGGATCCCGTCTCACCGGACCCCAGAGGACCCACCGGACCCCAGAGGACCCACCGGACCCCAGAGGGTCCCACCGGACCCCAGAGACGCACGCGCTCTTTTTCACCGCCCCTTCAAATATTTGCGAGGGCATCTTTCGCTGCCGGATTGGCTCAAGTCGAATTAGTGAGGGTACAGACCAACAAAAGACGAAATTTCGTGAACGTTTGCAACTGGGGACTTTGGTCTCTGCCGCTCGCAGCTTTAATTACCAAAGACAAAGCGGTAGTTGGGCCTTGATACAAGGCATTCGTCAACCCAAAACGAATTTTTCAGGACGCTTTCCTCTTCTATCCCCCATTTTGATTTTTGTCTGGAGATTTCGTAGAACGAATCGGGGAAGAGAAACCTTTTCACTCTCTAATATCCATTTTATATGTCTCGGCTAAAATTGCCAAAGTCCCGCTAAAATTGCCAAAGTCCCATGGCAGACGAGAAATCGAAACGAGGATGAGGTAAAGTCGATGCAATGTGAAGGATGTAAGGTCATAATGGATGGAAAGTTATAATGGATGTAAGGTTAAATGAGGATGTAAGAGGTTGCCGACATAAGCTCACGCAAGGTCCTTTCTGTCTGCAAGCAAAAAATAATAATCCGCAAAAGAAGAACGATGTCTCTCGGTCCCACGACATTTTTTTTTGCATAGACGAGCATGCGACTCCTTCATCTCCTGCATTTATACGACCCATGAATATTATATCTTTCATCGACTCGGAGATTCGTCAGACGCGGATCGAGGCCGCCAGCCATCGACGGAATAAACAAATTTCGGTCTGAGAACTCGAAAACAGGATAATAAAAAATTTCAATGTAATCATAAGACAATTATATTACACAAATAATTGAAGAAAAAATGCCATTTACTTCCCAGAAAAAACACAATGGACCGAGAAATTCCGAAAATTAAATCAGGCGAAAAATTCCCAATTCCAGGAATTTGAGATCTCTTGGGACGGAGCGCCTCGCTTCTGGTCGCTCTTCGTTGAAAGCGGCTCCGAGCCCGACAAGCATCGATTATGAGCATCGTCACTGTTCAACATTTTAGCCCCAACCTGCTTAAAATGTTGTTAAGTATAACTATATAGTATAACTATTTGACCATACAGTGGTTGGATGGGAGAACGCTGCGCGTTCTCGGGCCAACACCCATCAAGCGTCATTAAATTTAAATTTTTAAACGAATATCTAAAGTGAAACGTGCAGCCAAGCGTCTAACGTGACGTAGCCGGACCTTCGCGGGCCAGAGGGCGGGCTTCCTCAGACCAGAGGGCGGGCTTCCCGTCGCCGACCACCCCCGTAGGGTATATTGCCGATTGTATGGCAACCGATGGCAACCCTCTCGCCCCACATGCGAATCACGCATACGATATCGCGACGAAGTGATTACTTCGGATCCGAGATGATTGAACGCCGAGATCCAAAAGGAACCCCAATCGACGGAGGCTAATCGAATGACCGTCTCGAGGATCCAATCTACCCACGCTTCCCCAGGCGCAAGAAAAAAAAAACACAATGAAAAAAGTGAGCGAATCGTCATATCGACTCGTCGAAGTTTCCTGCTCGGGTCCCGACGAGTTCTACGTTCGGTTATCGATAACTCTCCCCGATCCGGTCCAGTACTTCCAGTACTTCCAGTACACTTCGCAGCGATAACCGTCCACGGAAGCCTTTCAGTTCGGAGCCGGCTTTTCCTCGATGAGGCTAAACCCCCGCGTTTCGCTGTTCAGAGACGCCAACGGTCCTTTTAAGCATCTGGTGTATTCATTCGTGTAATTATTAGTATAATCTAATATATCTAATATATATAGACGATCGTGACTGAGGGCCAGACTGAGGACCTGACTGACGCTAATTCTAATCACGTTCTAGAGAAGCTAGAAATCTGAAACTTGGTACATAGGTTGCTATTGGGATGCAAAGTTCAGAAAAAAATCCGACTTTGGAGGTACACGCTCTGGGGGGACATTCCGGGTGGGACGGATTTTGCAAGTCTGGGCCACAGAAAACCTTTATCTTAAAGATGCACGAGCCAAAGGCGGGGGAATTGAGCCCGTGAGCAAAGGAGTTTCATGGCATTACTTGGGGTAAGCATCGAAAACGGATGCGTTAAACTGAAATGCATTAGTAATTTCCGTAGATCGCAATATATATAATTATACATAATTGACACGCCAGCGGAAAGGCGCTGCATTTATCAACGAACTATCCTTGAAAGCGTATTTTTATGCAAATTCATATTTTTTGCTGTCTCTTAGGAGCATGTATTATTAGAAGGGGAAGTGATTGATGCCATTTTAAAAACGTATAAAAATGCAGATTTTGTGGTTTTCTCAGAATATGCATTTCACCCATTTTCTCTGAAAAAAATTTTTTTCCAGGAAAAAATTTTCCTCATGAGAAACGGAACGGCGAACACCGAATGGCGAGGCGAACCTTCGAGAATTTTGGGCGAATTCGACAAATTTGCAGCGTCGCTCTATGCTCTACGAAAGCAATTTGTCCGAAAAGAAAAAAAAAATTCCCGAATGAAGACGTCGTCTTCAGTGTCCTTTTTTTTTTAAAGGGTCACTTTCACGCTCTTCCCCGCCGAGCACGCCACCGAGCGGCGAGATCTGGCAACTCTTCACGTAATTTTCGTCGGACAGGCTTCCAGTTGCAGCAGGGGAAGTACTCGGAAGAGCACGAATGCATTGGTCATTCCTCGTCGGGAAGCTGGAGCCGACGGGTCGAGGAGTCGAAGAGCGACCGAGATCATTTCCCAGCGACAGAGAATAGGTTCCGCCTGTTCCAGCTTTTATTTCGTTAAAAAAAATCTTTCCCGTTCCACTTTGCAGCCTCGAGGACGAACGAGGATGAACTGAAAGGGGCAGGATCGCGGGTTCTTTTCGACTCGGTCCTATCGAGGAGCTCACTAATTAGGATGAAAAGATTCCTCCGAGGAAGCAATTTTCTTAGAGGCTTATTTCCTTACGTTTCATCAAAACGAGGATTAATGCCGAAGGTGGGAGGGAGGAGGGGGGGAAGGGGGTCGCCCCCCCCCCCTTTGCTTCAATCTATCGGGGCAGTTAAGAATAAAACTAAGGAGCATTAAAGCTGATAGCATAATATATGCTTGCATAATAATAATAATATAAACTGCCCTCAGACTTCGGACGAAGTGCCACGATAAACTCATTTTTCATTCGTCCAGGCTAAAATCTGCCCAACACGAATAATTCGGAGTGGATTTTAGGTCGACCAGCTCCCGGACTGCATTGATTACGTCTTATTACTGCATTACTAGCCAGAAATGCTTATGGTCTCAAAGGTATATCTAGGTTGTAAAACTGGATGAAAATTGCTACTATACACACGCCTACACACATGCATGCATGCATGCATGCACACACACACACACACACACACACACACACACACACACACACACACAGCCCTGGATATGGAAGGTGAAAAAGATCTCATGTCCTAATGATGAGAAATCACCTGATACAATTCATTAATTCATTGTGAAAGACTGGCAATTATATTATTCCGAGCTAATATTAGGCAATTTTACGCATTTTACGAACAGATTGTCACCTTTCAAAGATCACCGAACAAATTTCTTCTTTTCACAGCATTTTCCATTTCATCGTCGATATTTCCTCTTTGGGCATGCGTCTCGGCCCACCGCGAACGAATCCGCCGACGAAAGTACGCAGCCGACATTGCTCCCATTCGCGGGAGCAACGTCGACGGCAGCAATGTCGGCCACCGAGAGAATCCGCGCTTCCTCATCCGCGCTTCCTCACCCGCGCTTCCTCATCCGCGCGTTTCGCTTCGTCTGCAGGCGGATCACGACCGCATCGCATCTGCCCTTTCGCGGTCCACGGAAATGCAATTTCTTTCGTTTCCTTCTTTCTTTCTTTCCCCTCTCGACGAGCCACTTTCCGCCGTCCGATACGGTGTATCCTCTTGGGGGAACGAAGGGTGCTCCGTCGATTGCTGTGCGATGGAATCCCAAGCGACCAAGGAGAGAAAACAAGACTTCACAAGATCCAGTCTAAACAGTGGAACAGGGCAGGAACTGCTTTCAAACGCTTCCTCTCTCTCTCTCTCTCCCTCCCTCTCTCTCTCACTTTCTCTCTCTATCTCTTCTTGATGAACCTTCACCTCATATCCTCGTGAGTAATACTGGAAAAACACTGAATCGCGAAGCATGTCAACCACGAGGCCTTCCATCATGGCTAAGAGACAGCTGGAACGGACTGGCCATTCGAGGCGAGGGAGGGCGCCTGGGTGGAAGGGCGCCTGGGTGGAAGGATGCCTGGGTGGAAGGATGCCACGAAGCCGAGACCCCAAACGCAAAACTCGAGGATAATCGCACGAATCACGGTCGACGCTCTGTAACGTCACTACGGGTGTCGGTAATGGGATGTGGATGTCGGCGGTCTCGTTATCGGTTACACGATGGCAACACATAGGGGTGAAAAAGTCCAGTCTAGCCCCTGCTGCTCTCAGCCCTGATTCCATTTTTTGCCCTCGATCGATTAGATTTCCCTGATTTATTTTCGCCCTGCCGTATTACGATGGAATGCTCATGGACCCTATGGCAACTTTTTCCCACCGGTTTTCGCGGGTTCATCTCGACTTTCGACGAGGCGAGAAGCGGCGAATTCCCCATATTATTTTAAACACATTTTTACGAAAAATTTCCACCGGCTCATCTCCTACTTGATCCTCGCCGAATTCAATAAACGAAAAAACTCGATCGAAAAACAAAGTGCGAGCCGAGATCCTCTATCGGTCACGCGTGACGAACGATCCTCTCCAGACGATCACGCGATCGCGATCGACTGATTCCCTCCGAGCACCCACCTTGCGATCCGACCCGCCAAATCGCGGAAATTTTTTTTCCCCTCAGATTTCGCGATGCGAAACCTCCTTCGCGGCCGATTTCATCCGTGATTTCGGACGTCGCCGAGCGGCCGCATCGGGAATCGACGTCCGGAAGACTTCGGCTTCGTCCAGCTGCTGTGCGACCGCGTCGATCGGGGGACGGTCGCTTCCCATCCTGCGACTAGTCCTTCTCCTAACCCTTATCTCAATCCTTA